AAAAAAAAAAAAAAAAAAGAATAAAAGGATCAGCAGTTGTGGAGAGAGAGATGAATAGGCAGAAACAAAGGATTTTAGAGCAGCAGAACTATTCACTGTGATGCTGTAATGGTGAATTCATGTCATTATGAATCTGTCTGATCCCACGAAATGTACACCCTGATGTAAACTATGGACTCTGAGTGATATGTCAGTGTAGGTTTATCAGCTATAACAAACTTACCAGGGAAGAGAGGAGAGAGCAGTGGGGGAGGGAGGCAGGTTAATGTTTGTTAAAAGAAGGAAGGGGAAGTCAGAGCGGTACCAGCACAGTTCCCAGGATTCTGGGCAAAATACAGAGGCAGGAGTAGTGAGGTCTTTCGTTCCAGGCAGAGACAGGACATGCAGCCTGAGCCCCTGCAAAGTGCAGGATTGCTAGAGCTGAAGTCTCCTGCATGAAGAGAGCTGGAAGCTGCAAGGGGGCTACAGAACCCGTGTCAACCATCCTGGGGCATCTGCAGGGAAATGTGGTCTTTCACCAGGGAAATGGATAGGGTGAAAAAGACATCCATGAAAAATCTCCAAGCCTGGCCCACAAGCCTGTGTAGTCTGAATTTTTGTTATTAGCATGTTGAAGGGCCACAAGTTGAAAAATTTAACAAAGATTGGCCCAGACCATTGAAAGCTCCAGAACCTTGCAGAAACCAATGTGGTCCATTAAACTGCAACACAAAGACGTATAATTAGGACCTATGGAAGAGAAGAGACCAGAGAGAATGAGCAGGTCCAACATGCGTCTGAGAGAAGTTCCTACAGGATAAGATAGAAAGAATGGGTGGCACACAATATGGAAGATGCAAAGACACAGAGTTTTCCAAAATGAAAGATATGGGTCAGTGCAGAGGCTTATTCCTGTTATCCTAGCTCTTTGGGAGGCCAAGGTGGGTGGATTGCTTGAGCTCAGGAGTTTTAGAACAGCCTGGGCAACATGGTGAAACCCTCTCTCTACAAAATAAATAAAAAATTAGCCAGGCATGGTGGCACATGCCTGTAGTCTCAGGTACTCAGGAGGCTGAGGTGGAATGATCACTTGAGCCCAGGAGGTTGAGGCTACAGTGAGCTGTGATAGCACCACTGCACACCAGCCTGGGTGACAGAGCGAGACCTTATCTCAAAAAAAAAAATAATAATAATCTAAAGAAATTTACTGGGGATAAAGAAAAGCATATCCATCACTAGATATACTGTAGTCAAAGTATGGAATATGAAAGACTGAGAATCTTGAAAACAAAATGATCAGATATGATCCAGCAATTCCACTACTGGGTATATGCCCAAAGGAAATCAGTATGCTGGGCGGGGCACAGTGCCTCACACCTATAATCGAAGCACTTTGGGAGGCCAAGGCGGGGGGATCATTGGAGGCCAGGAGTTCCAGACCAGCCTGGCTAATCTGGTGAAAACCTGTTTCTACTAAAACTACAAAAATTAGCTGGGCACAGTGGTGCACACCTGTAATCCCAGCTACTTAGGGGGCTGAGGCATGAGAATCGCTTGAACCCTGGAGGTGGAGGTTGCAGTGAGCTGAGATGGTGTCACTGCATTCTGGTCTGACAACAAAGCAAGTCTCTATCTCCAAAAAGAAAGAAATCAGTTTGCTGAAGAGATACGTGCACTCCATGTTCATCCAGCATGATTCACAATAGCCAAGAGATGGAAACAACCTAAGTGTCCATCAACAAATGAATGGATTTTTAAAATGTGGCACATTTACACGATGGCATAATATCCAGGTCACTTTGACAACCTGGATGAACTTAGAAGACATTATGAAATAAGCCAGGCTTGGCCGGACGTGGTGGCTCACGCCTGTAATCACAGCACTTTGGGAGGCCGAGGCAGGCAGATCACTTGAGGTCAGGAGTTCAAGACCAGCCTGGCCAACATGGTGAAACCCCATCTC